AGTGAACCAACAGATGGAAAATCCTTCTCTCTGTATCTCCTTCTCTCTGTAGATCTGCCTTTCCAATAAAAATAAATAAATCTTTTTAAAAAACAGTAATAATAAAAACTGAATCCAGAGGCCAGCACTGTACATAATGGGCTAAGCCTCCACCTGTGGCACCAGCAGCTCATGTGGGTACCTGCTGAGTCCCAGTAGCTCAGTTCCCACTCCAGCTCTATGGTGATGGCATGGGAAGGCAGTGGGGGAGGACCCAAATCCTAGGGGCCACTACTCTCACATGGGAAACCCAGAAGAAGATCCTGGTTCCTGGCTATGGACCAGCCAAGCTCTGGCCGTTGAGGTCATTTGGGGAGTGAGCCAACAGATACAAGATGTCTCTGTTTCTCCTCTCTGTGTAATTCAGCCTCTCAAATAAAAATTAAATAAATCTTAAAAATACATATATTGAATCCAGTCGTTTCCTATCCCCTTGTTTCAGGCAAAACTCCTTAACACGGCCAACAATGACCTCAATGAACCAACTGTATTCATTGTTTCGATCATTTCTGCAGAACAAATCACTGAAGCCTCAGCTGGATGGTCATTATCTAAATTCTCTTTGGTAGTTACAGGAAAAATTTGGCTGGGGCTGGAGTCACCTGAAGGCTCAGCTGAGCTAGGTATCCAAGATGGCGTCCTCACGCAGGCCTGAGGCCAGCATCCACATAGTTCTCCCAGTGGCTCACTCTGGTTTCGTGACAACATAGCAAGCTCAGACTACTCACTTTCCAAGTGACAAGTCACTCTCCCTACAGTTAACTCTATAGGACACCAAATCAAAAGAATCCTGTTGGGCCCGGCGGCGTGGCCTAGCAGCTGAGGACCTCGCCTTGAACATGCCCGGATCCCATATGGGCTATAAAATCTCTTCTGACCTAGGCTGTGAAGTCTACGTCTCTTCTTCTGCCTTTTTTTTGTGGAATCAAAATCCAGGCCAAGCGTCAGCCCGAACTCCTCAGGAAGATCTACCAAAGTGCTTGTGGATTAGGAGACATAACGCTCTAGGAAGAGGAGAGAATATTTGGATAGCGTCACCTACAGCAACCTCTGCAGCTCATTTTGCAGCACCCTCCTTATAGCTGTTTCCACTTTAGCTGCACTGGCCTTCCTTCAGTTGCTGGCACTTGTCAAATTCCATCCTCCTAAAAGCTTTTCCCACAATTCTTTCTCTGTTTGGAATGGCCTTCCAGTTTCCCTTTTCCCAAATCAACTTTCAGATCTGAACCAATCCTGAGGAAAACCTTCACCGACTCCTCAAACCTGGTTGTATCTTAACATGTACCCTCAAGGCACCTGGATGTGTTATCAGGCCTGTGTCATTCTCACAGCACTGCACTGTGTATTACCTGTGGAATCCTGTCCATCACACCTTGGTATCTTCCACCACACTGAAAAGGCAGTCGTGCTGTTTTATTGTACTATCCCAGAGTTTTCCTTGTACCCCAATATTTACTTGCTGAATGAACAAAGCAAACTTCGTAAATCAAACTGTCCCATATAACAAATTACTTCTCCCCTTATGAATTAGAATTGACATATATAATATATCCCTATGTACTAGTGTGCCTAGATAATTAGATAACCACGAATATAAACAATTTTTCACAGTGGAGATCTTGAATATTTAAAGGTAATATCTTTTGTCATATTTTGTCTTAAAAAAAGGAATCTATTAGCACATCCAAACTGTGTTTGTTTTGCAGTGTATCTTCCATACTCCTTTCACGTGGGCATAGAGAAATCTTTAACTTCTGTGCCTAAACAAAAGCTAGCTAGACTATCACGTGGAGCACTCCAGGCCGGAAGGCGGTAACTTCCCTGCGCTCCATGGAAACCCTGTTCTGACAGCCGAGAACATTAGAAGCACTCCATTGGAAGCCCAGGTGGTTTGTTTCTCAGACCACACAGAATTCTTTTTGGTCTAAAATGCAATGTACAGTGCTGACTGCTGCAGGCTATATTATTAATAACCTGTCTAGCAAGAAACCCACCATTAAATTTCAGTCTAAAGTGGAACATTGCCATCTTGATGTAGGACTATTCTTACTCTTTAGAAGGTAACTCAAAAAGCTGGAGAAAATAGCCACTTGATATAGATTTTGAAAGTCTTTTCTTTAGATAAATGCTTCAAGTAATTACAGTTAGCCATGTGAATTCTCAGTTTATGCGGATTGGAGGTGTATTTTTAATAAAACTTCATCTTATTCCAGCTTGGTGGCTCAACAAACGAATCCTCCTCCTTTAAGCAGCAGCATCCCAAATGGGAGCAGGCTTATGTCCCAGCTGCTCTGCTTTGCAGCTAGCTCCCTGTGTATGGACTAGAAAAGCAGAAGAGGATGGCTCAAGTCCTTGGGCCCCTGCATCCCAGTGGGAGACTCAGAGGAAGCCCTTGGCTCCTGGCATTGGATGGACTCAGCTCATGCCATTGTGGCCATTTGGGGAGTAAACCAGTGAATAGAAGATCTTTCTCTCTTCTCTCCTTCCCTCTGTAAATCTGCCTTTCAAATAAAAAAGAAAAAGAAGAAAAAGCATCTATAATGAACATGCACAGAGTGCTGAGTCTAGTAATTATCCTCTAAATAATACAATAAAACAGCCATTTACAATGCATTCATATTGTATTAGGTATATAAGTAACGTGGAGATGATGTAAAGCATGTGGGAAGATATGACAGAAGCCACATGCAACGACTGCCTCGTTCTATATAAGAGCCTTCGTCATCCATGGACCAGAACACCAACAAAGGTTTCAGGAACAAATTCTGCTTGGGTACCAGCAGGTGCGCTGTATACACTGTAATATAAACTAAAGTTCACTATTAAAAAATAGATTCCATTTCTGGTCTTTGAATATCAACCATCCACTCTAATTGCGCTCCAACAACTGAATACATCCAGACTAATAGCAGAATTTTCTCTACCGTGTGTAATTCAGTCAAACACTACCCTTTCTTTCTCCGCACTACAACACGAGGCTCCAGGAACCCCGGGCTAAGCGGGTCGTTCACCTGCAGCATCGGCTGGTCTGCTCAGTTCCTGAATGAGTGAGCAGTGGTGCTGCTCCAGAATCAGAACTTGCATGACATGATACTTAGCAAGATGCTTACTTGTTATTGATCAAGAAAAGACAGTCTGTCAGATTGCAAGTTGCATGACTTCTCATTTACGCCTCTTCCTTTGTAGGTATTATGTCACGTGAAAAGCAGTGTTTCTAATGATCTACAAACCTGTCTCATTCATCGGTTGAGAAAAAAAAAACTTACTCCATTATTATTATTTTTGCTAAATTTCTAGGCTTTTCTGGTTGATCAATTTCCTAGAAAATGAAATACTTTTTTTCTAGGCTCAACAGGAGTTGTCTGTGCTTAACTGGGCATGTTAAGGAGTCTAATCAGATTAGACAAATGCATATTAAATAGTACACACACACAAATAGGCCCATGAGCAGGAGCATTTTGAGGAAATAAGTTAGCCCATTAACCGAAAATTTAATAATATGATGCAAGACTGAGGCATGAAAACAAGTTATAGGACAGTTACTTAAATCCAAAGTTAATCTCTTAATAAGTTGTCCTCAAGGGCTGGGCTGATGAAGCCAAAACATTCCTTAGCAAGTGTTTCAGCCTGGTGGGTGTCGCACAGTTTAGATGCCAGTAAAACATTGATATTCAACTGGTCCATTAAGACACCCCCAGCACGTACTGCTGCCCAACACACAGAACTGCTGGCTTTGCTGTGGCTAAGTCCCCATTTTGCGCCTTTGCTTCTCAGGTCTTCAATCACAGTGAATTCTTCTCAGTTAAACCTCGTCTTTTTGTCCTGCTCCTTGCTAAGTGTGGATTATGTAGACTTTCAAGCTAGAATATGCTCAATGGAAATTTCAAGCACGAGACAAGCTCAACCTGCTGTACAGCTACTCCATTTCCAGGCTGGACCTTAGTAAATGTGATATGAGAAACACTCGTCCATACTTCCAAAGGCATTCCTCGCTTCCCAAACGAGACGCACTTAGGTTACATTTGCCTGTGCTATACTGGGCCAATTTTTCACTACTCTAAATGGTTTCTGAAGGTCTTGCCTCCCACTTTGCATGTCTCTTGATAATAAGGTGTATTGTTCCTCCTAGAGTAATCAAAAGAAAGGCTTAGAGGAAAGAGCTTTAAATGAAGCAACGATTTTCGCAGAGCTCCTCCTTTCTACTCTAGATGCTACCACCCTCCAACTTCTTTTTAATCTATCTTAAGAAGAAAAACAAACAGAAAATAATCCACTTCTCCTTCGTTTAGAAGTTAAATTTCACTGCAACCAAGCTAAGCCTTTAAAACACCCCCAAGTTTCTTTTTGTCGGAAGTAAGATTCCTCCCCATTCATAACTAAAGCCGATACAGTCCCTGCAAAGAGCATGCAAGTAGGAGTATTCTGAAAGAGCAGCAATTGCTAATACATTACGACTATTGATCAAGTACATCTATTTTGGTCATTTCCTGACTGAACAAGGCAGCGCCGGTGGATGAATGGTAGAAGAAGCACATTTTTCAAAGTAAAGTCCTTTCAAGGACAGAGGCCAAGGTGAGCCCGACTCCCTCTTCTCTCAGCAATCCTAAAGGCTCTGTGAATGGTCGTCAACGACGTGCGCCACCTCGCAGGGGCACCTTAGGGGCTGCTCTGAAACCAGCACAGCGCAACACTCAGGGCGCAGCCTGGGCAATGCACGTCCCATCCTCACCCCGGGGTAGGAAGTGGTGAAACGCGCACTCGCTCCACCACCAGCAGCAGCGCAGCCCTCCGGTGAAGCGAAGGAGGCGAGCTGGCATTGCCCGGGAAGGCACAGTCCGCATCCTCCTCCCCCAGCCCCGGAGACAGAGGCTGGCCTCCTCCTTCTCCTCCGAACCAAGCGCCCGGCTCGTTCTCATTCAAGGCTGTTCCCGGCAAAGCAGAACGCTCTACGCCGGCCTTACCTCTGGGGCTGCTTTCTTGCAAGTACGGTGGGGCCGTGGGAGTGACATTCCCGGAATGGGATGCTGACAGCAGTGGCGAGCGTTCGTCCACGCCGTCAGCAGCCATGACTGCAGCAGCGGCGGGGCCAGGAGAGGCCGGCTTGCGGTGGAGGTGGCGGCGGCTGCTGCTGCTGCTGCTGCCGCTGCTGCCGCCGCCGCCTCCGGGAGGGCCCGGGATGTGTCACAAGGCAGGCGGCGGGGGAGGGGAGGGTGCGGGCCCGGGAGGCGGGGAAGGGAAGCACGCGGGGCGGCCAGACCGGGGGAGGGGACCGGGGAAGAAATGCAGGGGCCCGAGCCCAGCCTGCCCGAGAGGAACCCGGCTGCAACGTTGGGAAAGGCGTGGAAGGGCTGGAGTGAGCAGGGGGCGGAGGCCTGAATGGGATGAAGGGTGTTTTTTTTTTTTTTTTTTTCCTACTGAAAAAAAAAACGCATTAGGAGCCGCCCGAAAAGGCCAAGGAGAAAGGCCCGGAAGCTGATTACAAGAAAAGGAGAGCAAAGGCAGATACCACGTTAAGCTCCTCCAGGGACAGTGGGAACTCTTGGTAATTGAACTTGACAGCACTGATGGAAAGACATTTTTATGAACTTCAAGCCTCTCTTTTGTTTTGAAATGCTTTTCAGCATCTGTTGTCCAAGAGGAAGTAAACGGCCACCTCGGTGTTGTGTTTCCCCACAGTCCCACATTTTTAACAACGTGCGTGTTGACACTCCGGAGGGATGGTGTTGAAAGCTGGCATAGTGTGCCGGCCTTCACAAGCTTCATTTCATAAAATAGGCTTCCTTTCTAGCTACGTTTTTCATTCCACGATGTCTCTGATAGCACATATAGAATCATGCTTATTAATAATCTAAGACAATTAGAAATAATTTTCTTGAGATGTTTTAAAATAATTTTTTACATGTGACAGAATAAAATACACACAAAAAAGCTATTACCTAGTTTGCCGTGTGTATCGTTTTTTTTAACTTTTTGATTGCTTGTGCCACATATACCAACATGATTTACCAAAACAAACCAAAGTTTAATATAACCAAATAAAAATGTAAATGGCAGCTGTTCCTGAGCTAACATGATAACTTTCCTGCAACAGCTCCCTGGGTCATGCAAGAATCATTTATTCCTGAAAGTGCAGGGGATCGGCCAGTGGCTGGGACACCATCTTGGTTCTGAAGTTGCCTGCTGACTCAGACAAAAGGAAATCAATCATAAGACTGGTGGTCCCTACAGCAGGCTTCACAGCAGACTTTACACTTTGGAGACTGCTTCTGCTACCGCATTAACAAGAGTCCTCTGTGGACAGTCTTCCTCCTAGAAAATGCATTTAGGCATTAGCTAGGAAATCAACAAATAGCATTTGCTATGATTCAGCATCTTTTGAGGATGACTGACATCAAGCTAGGATATAAGCTTCCCCCTATGGTGAACCCCAGGAGCATGTGTATGTCTCTAGGAACCTAGAAACTAAGGCATTGGCATGCAGTGCTTCCTGCGGGATGCTCAGCTTATCAGGCCAGCACCGTTCTGCAGGAGCAGGCTGAAGGCCGTGAGTTAAGGAAAACGGCAAGAAGAAACAATCTTACTATCATGGGCTCCCACTCATTTTAACGCATATTCGCTTTCCTGTTCTGTCCACACTCTACCCCTCACTGAACTGATGAGGTCAGAAACCATGTCTGTCGAGTTCATGAACGTATCTCCAGCTTCTAGGAGAAGTCTTGGAGCATTTAGTAAGCACCCCATGTTTTTTGTTTTTCGGATACAAGAACAAAGCCTAGACAACCCCAGAATCTTATGAAGGCAAACCATTTGGCACTGGGAAGTTAGGAGCACCTCTGGCCTTTTTGGTAACAATGACAATGTTGCTATTCTACTGATTGATTTTGTTTTGCTCTAGTGTATCCCTACAGATAAAAATTTCTTTTTGCTTCAGGTAATAATCAGTATAAAAAGGTTATATATATATTTTTTTTCCTTTTTAGCTTCTTGATATGTCTCCTGCATTCATGTTGGAACTTATCTAAGGCTAATGACAGGTATTCCTAAAATACAATATAGATTATTCTGAAATTATAAAAATATCTCCAGTAAAACCAAGTTTCACAACATGCCAAAAAAATGCTTAATTATGTAAGTATCATTCTAATTTAGGGATAATACCATGGCTTATAGTTACTCAATAAATATTAAATAATTCTCATCCATCCAAGATATTTTTAGGATCATGATGCCTTGCCATCTTTGTTCAACAATGCGTCTACTGGAACAAAAGGTTCAGTATCGACTGGCAACACGTGCACTGCACCCGCTCAGGCCGCTGCTTCGGTTACACATCTTTGAGGAGTGAGCCACACCAAAACCCTCTACCAAAAAGTGACATGTTGGGTGTTTTTCATGACCCCATGGGTCAGTTTGATAATGATTCTTTTCAGCTCTGTGTTTATGCATATTCTGTGTTTGCTGGTTTTTGCTGAGAGTGAACTCAGCTGGGACATCTGGGATGAGTGGGCCAGGTATTTCCCTGTAGTCTTCTTTCCGGCCCTCTTCACATACTCACTTAGAGCAGCATTCTTCTTCTTTCTTTCTTTCTTTCTCTCTCTCTTTTTTTAAGAATTATTTTTATTGCAAAGTCAGATTTACAGAGAGAAGGAGAGAAAGATCTTCCATCTGCTGGTTCACTCCGCAAGTGGCTACAATGGCCAGAGCTGAGCCGATCCAAAGCCAGGAACCTCTCCCGGGTCTGCTATACAGATGTAGGGTCCCATCCTCTGCTGCTCTCCCAGGACACAAGCAGGGAGCTGGATGGGAAGCGGAGCAGCTGTGATACAAACCAGCACACCTATGGTATCCCGGCACATGCAAGGTGAGGACTTTAGCCACTAGGCTACAGTGCCAGGCCCATAGAGCAGCATTCTAAGAGGAAAAATGAGGAAGCCAAGGGTTTCCTTAAGAGCTGGGCCCTGGTTATTTAACATTGTCTCTTGTATCATTTTCTTCTACCATTGGTAATGTTCTAAGCCCGCTTCCTGCCCCAAGTTAGGTACTAATGTACCCATTTTCATGAAAAGGATATCACAAGTCCTACAGAGGACTAGATTCTGTCTCTTCACAGAGGAGCAGCAATGGCACATGCAAAGGGACAAATAACACAAGAATGGATGACTCATTGGAAGCCATTATGTAACAGTCTACCAAAGCAGCTCTCTGGTCTCAGTGCTTCACATCCCACCCACAAGGAAACTATGTTTATTAACTCCCAAGACCTGAGAGTCTTATTCTTGAAGTTTTACTATAGTTATGCTATAGGTCAAATGTTCCCATCAAAGCTCATGTTGAGGAGCCAGCATTGTGGCTTAGTGAGTTAAGCCACTGTGCAACAACTTCATTCAGGTGGGTGCTCACTTTTGCGCTGGGTGCTCCACTTACAACGCAGCTCCCTGCCAGTCTCCTGGGAAAAACAATGGAAAATGGCCCAAGTGTTTGGGTCTAAGCCAACCAGATGGAAGACCAGAGGAAGGTCCTGGGATCCGGGCTTCCCCTGACTGTTCAGCCATTTGGTGGGTCGGCCTGCAGAGATCTCTGTCTCTGTAACTGACTTTCAAAATAAATAAATCTTTAAAAAAAAATCATGCTGCTATTTACTCCCCACTGTGAAATATTAAGAGATGAGATTGGGTGGTATCTTTAGTAAATCATTAGATCACATGGGGTCTGCCACACGAGTGGATTAATGTACTCATCAATTAATGAATGGATGAGTTAGCGGGTTACTCTCAGAGTAGGTCTGCTATGAAGTCAGTTTGACTCCTTCTGATTTTTCATAGTGATACTTTGTGCTGTCCTGGCACTACACAGAGTCCCCACCCACCACAGACCTTAGCAAATGTGTTCGCTTGACTAGGAGCCTCCCAGCCTGCAGAACCATGAACTGAATTAAAGTTCTTTTCATATCGCCCAGTCCCAGGGATTCTGTTGCAGCAATAGAAAATGGATTAAAATTCAACTTTATATGTAACCTGTCCTGTGAATCAAATCCAAGTACCAGCAGATCAGCACGGGTGTGATTGCACAGGTCCAGATCCTCGGGTCCAGAAAATGATGAAATTCGGTAGGACATATGAGCAGTGTCCTTGACGCAGACGCAGGAGATGCTCTGTTGCACAGTTATGCTCTTGGTGCTGTTTCATGTGTTCATCTAGAGCGTTGCTTGACTCTTAGCCCTAGCCAGTGAATCCATTTTTTATAAGAAAGGCCTTTGCTGGTAGCAATGTGGCTCTCAGGCTGCTTCCTGCTCACAGCTGAGACACCAAAGGATTCTTTTCATTTTGAACTGCCTCTGACCACTTTTCATCCAAAGTGATACAACTTCCTTAAAAACGTATGTGCTCCCAGTGAGTCTGAGTGAAATTTATCTCATGCCCCAAAAGGCACAAGCATGATTCTCTTTGAGGCAATTTTCTGTCTCTAATGGGGCACATTTGAGGGTCTTTGAGTTCTCAGAAGCCTGTTTTTCTATTTTTTAAGATCTTCTTATTTTTTTACTGGAAAGGCAGATTTTTCATAGAAGGACACTCAGAGAGAAAGATCTTTTGTCCGCTGGTTCACTCCCCAAGTGGCCGAAACTGAGCTGATCCAAAGCTAAGAGCCAGGAGCTTCTTGTGGGTCTCCCACAGGGGTGCAGGGTCTCAAGGATTTAAGCCATTCTCTGCTGCTTTGCCAGACCATCAGCAGGGAGCTGGATCAGGAGTACAGCATCCAGGCTGACACAGGTGCCCATATGGGATGCCGGCAACCACAGGCAGAGGATTAGCTTGCAATGCCACCATGACAGCCTGGAAAGTTTCTTTAGTTCACCTCTTTGAGACAAAATAATGCCTTCCCAAGGATGCTTACACTCTAATTCCCAAAAGCTGGGAATAGCCTATCTTACATTGCAGAAGGGAAATTTGTTGATATGAACACAGGGTGTAGACATTCAGATAGGGAGAGTGACATGATGATCCAGACATGAAACCCATTCACATGAGTCGCCAAAGACAGGGAACCTTGCCCAGTGGGGTTCAAAGAGATTAGTGGGAGAGATTAGAAGTGTGGGAAGGACTCAGCCTGCCACACTAGGTTTTAAAGTTGCAGGGAGGGAACCAAGGAGTAACAGTGGCCTCTGCAAGTTCGGCGT